ATGTTTGAACGTTTGAAACCACGAAAAGCTTGCAAACGCGCGGCTAATGCGAGCCGACATACGCCGAATCGCGGTTCTGGCCAAAGATGGTCTCGGAAAAGAAGTCACAGGTCAAAGGTCATTTGGGTCAGGGTCATGAAATTTTCAGGGTAGGTGTAAAATTGATCAATGCGGGGGTACTGAAAGTTTCGTCGCGATCCGCCGCTTTTTACGCGAGTTAACCGCGAAAAACCTTAGGGGGGTTGCATCAACCTCCCCCCTGTGCCGGCGAGGGTTAAAGGGACACTCCCACCTTAACATTAGTTTTGAGTTGAGATAGCCAAATTGGTGGCCATGGCCTGCAAATACCGGTTTGGGCACTCACAACATCGACAAATGCTTTAATTCGGAGATATGGAATTTCAAACTTGCAGTTTTCGGATTCTAAGGGGCTAGTGCATTGGTATGCCCCCTTAGAATTTGTGACGTCAGCGGAGATCTAACGATTTTTAAATCTTTTACTAAAACGTTTGGTAGCACGCGGTGGTATATGCTGCTTTGCGCGCAACAAATGCCGCACTTTCAAATAAAGTCGCTAGGAACAGCGGAGATCCCAAAAAGTAAACAAAAGTAAAAGTCAAATATCTTGAAAACCGGTGAATATTTTTCGATGAAATTTGGTAGACATTCGTTTTCGCTCTTTCTGAACCGAGCGACATCACTTTCGTGCCAATTCATTAACTTTTTTGAAGGTGGGAGGGTCCCTTTAAAATGCATGTTTTATCGATTTATTCTCCATATGATGATTTGTAATATAAAAATATAGTTTCCATAATACCTAATGGTAAAATAATATCCATAATAACTTTGAAGCATACTAAATCTGTGGTACTTTTATAATGTTAAGAATAGCTCACTGTTTGAATCTATTTCGTTTGCTGTATCATTTGACGGAGGATCCATTTTCTATGTCGTCCCGGAATATGCTGCTAAAAATCAAATCTTCGGAACTGCTACGACATCTTAAGTTGGGTCGTAGGATAAATCCTAGGACTTTTGACATGAATATCAAATTATCTTAAGATTGTCAACGTGAATTAGAAGTATCCTAAATATCCAGACTGATCGTACGATAAAAAGTTAAGATGGTCAACATGAATACCAAATCGATCGTACGATGAAAACTGATCGTAAGATGTCGACGTGAATACGGGCCCTGGGCCTAGGTGACATTTTTAAATGAACCTTTACGGGCAATTTTCATTCGACGTGTTTTGACAAAAGAAATACGATTTTAATCAGGCCTGTTTCACTAAAAACTTGTATTTTACAAGTGTTTGTAGTTTACAATTCATAAGTATTTTTACCAACTACGTAAAAATCGATTTCACTAAGCTTCATCGCCAGTGGCACCTCCGATAAGAAAATGTTTGCAAATAAAGTTGTAAACAGTAAAATTGTTTTTTAATCAAGAACTATAGCATGTTAAAGATATTGCTTCTTTGTATGAAATATTGTCTAGCATTCATGTCAAAAGCTGCCTAATTAAATTATAAATAATGATGCTGTTGGAAATAGATATAAATGAGTGTTCACATTGTCCTATTATTGAAAGAAAATAACACGCAAAATATTTGACAGCAGAAGACTGGTGAATGCAATTATGGCGCGCGAATGACAAAACATGACCATATTTCAATACCGATTATTTTGCTTCTTAGGGTGTGTGCTAAGTAAAAATTGAGCATGAAACGACTCAACAAAGCATAGTTGTTCTAAATATATGACTGTTTTGCATTATCGTACAAAAAGTATCAAAATTCCGAACGTTAGGACCACTGGAATTTCAGGTTTGTAATTACGATGTTTTCTTTCAAGTTTCTGGTCTTCGTGAAACAGAAAGTTTGCGATTCCCATGTTTTCTAGCAAACTTTTTCTTGTAAAAAAGTTTGCAAATTTTAAACTCAAAATTCATGTTCAAAGGTTTCGTGAAATCCAAATCTCAAATGTTGGTAATTATTTCTTGTAAACTCAAGCTTTTTCTTTGTAAATACAAGTTTTATTTGTTAGTGAAACAGGCCTCTGGTGGGGGGGGGGGTACTTTTTGCCCCCCCCTCGTATCTCCGAAACTACTGGACGGATCCGCAAAATTCAAACGGCGTTAGAAAGCCATATCAAATTTGCCAAAGGAACTCCAATTTCATTGGCCTCGGGGTCACCGATGACGTCACAGGTCAGGTCAAAGATAAAATGGTCACGGGTCTTCTAGGGAATGCGCTATAACATCGAGTAAAACGCATTTTATCGAAAATTAGCGATAGGGCGTCAGTTGCTTAGTACATATGTTGCTACTAGAGGTCACTGATAATACCAGGTCAGGTCACAGGTCAGGTCACCAAGGGTCAGCAACTCAGCACATTACCTAACCCAATTTCACTAGGGCTGTGTGATGCATGTTTTATGGCAATTTTTTTATTTCAAACTCAATGGTGTTGGTTATAAGAACATCAGGAACGGTTTAGGTCACTTCCTGGTGGAGGTCAGGTTAATGTCAGGTCAAAAAAGGTCAAATTTTAAAGTTGATATTTTTGCATAAATGGGAATCGAATCGATGAAGCTCGTCACGGCGAGTCTAATGATGGTCTTTGTTTTGCGCCACGTGGTCTAAAATTGCTAAAAATTGAGTTTGAAAATTTGACGTCATCAATTTTGAAGTTTTTTGCTATAACTTGGCAAAAAAAGTTATCGATCTAAAATCTGGTATGTGAATAGAAGTCGGTAGGGGCTATCACATATATTTCGTTTTTTTCGAAAATCGAAAAAAAAACTTTTTGGATTTGTCGGCAATTAGGTATATTAAAAAAAATATATTTTTTGATTTTTGGGAGTCAAAATTCCAAAATTCAAAATTTCGACATAGCAGTTTTGTAGCCCTAATAATTCTACACCTCTTATGTTTGAACGTTTTCTGTATCTTCAAAGCTATAGGCCTGACAGCTCTTCCCGCGAAACCTTTTTTTTTTGGCCGAAAACGGCAGAACATGACGTCACTCTGACGTCATTTCCGGACAACTATCAAAGCCTTTGGAAAAAATTTGGTCACAATGTGTAAAATTGATGCCCGGGAGGGTACTGAAAGTTTGGTGACTGAAAGTGATCAGCGCAGCGGTTCTGAAGATATATCGAAAAGTCTGGAGGGGGGGGGGGGCAAAAATAGCCCCCCCCCCACACCAGGGCGCGGGTTAACATAACACTGCGACTTACTGAGGCCGTTTTTTGCGGTAGCTATCAGTGCTATACAATGCTATGATGTTCTGTTTACAAACACATTTCGCTTAAACATATTTTCTCAAATATCCTTTTGGGTCGAACGGCAATGGAGTCGCGGCAACGCCCCTCCCCTCCCCCCCACACACTTCCTTAGTGTCCCTGTACCTACACGTCATTACTGTCAGTACCTGAATGCTGACACTCAATACTGGCAATATTCGCAATATTGTCAATAAACACCGTTGATCGGGTCATGCTATTGCTTATAGCCTATCTCGTAAGGATATGCTAGTGAATAGCGTTAGTGTTGTTTTGGCTGAAGAGTTTGATTATATTTGTACCCGCAAAAAGCCTATCACTCATTTCACACAATGCACAAGTAGCCAGTAGGCACACATTCCTCATTTATCAATAATCATTGAATAATTATATTTGAAATCAAAAAGAATTTTAATCTCATGCAAGCTCCAAAGATAATACCTAACCCTAGGTACCTACATACAGTGTGGGCAAAAAAGTCTGTCACTTTTCAGCAGTAATTTCTCGAAAGTGGTAAAAGATACGAAAAAGAAACTTTCACAACTTAAAGAAAATCGCTTGACAAATTATATGATACCAATTTTATGGAAAAGTTTCAATCGAAGTGACGTTGTTATCATCATTTCAAAAAAACGGGATCTGTGCGTCTCTTTATTTGCGCATGTGCTCGAAGTGTGCACCGCTAAGCTGAAGGCCATCCGGAAACGCGCTCCAGAAGCTGACGTTCACCCTCTCCGCGGTGGCTGCTGTCACTTCACGCACGTATTATCGACGCTGACACGCAGCTCCTCCAGGCTACCGGGCTACTGCTTTTCGCTTCCCTGGAGATCACGCGGCAACCGAAGAGCTCTTGGAGCAGCTGCAGTGTATCTCGGGCCGTGTGCGGTGGCGCTACATCTTGCATAAACAAAGCTTGTAGCGTGAGCACCAAGGGAAGTGAAAAGCAGTGGGCTCCTCACAGTCCTGACCTCAAGCCGCTGGACTACTGGTTTTGGGGAGCCTGCAAGGACAGCGACAGCGTCTACCACGTCAAGCCCGATAGCCTGGAGGAGCTGCGTCTCAGCGTCGAGCAGTACGTGCGTGTTGTGCCAACAGGCACCGCGGAGAGGGTGGGCGCCAGTTTCCTGGAGCGTGTTCAGACGTGCCTTGAGCATTGAGGTGCCCACTTCGAGCACATGCGCAAACATAAAAGACGCACATATCCCATTTTTGAAATGGTGATGGCAACATCAGCTCAACTGAAACTTTTTCATAAAATGGGTATCGTATAATTTGTCAAACGATTTTCTTTAAGTTGTGAAAGTTTCTTTTTGGTATCTCTTACCACTTTCGAGAAATAGCTGCTGAAAAGTGACACACTTTTTTTGGCCCACCCTGTATATGGTACGCTCGGTTATCGGTAACGCCTATCAACCCGAACATGTTTTTAATAATCGTTCAAAACACTTGGCTATAGCTATGCTGGTTTCTTATAGCGCTATAGGCGAGGTGTCTATTGGACACCTCACCTATAGTGTCCGAATGTATATAGACACCTCGCCTATAGCGCTATAAGAAACCAACATCATTCGAGAAACAAATGTTAGGTGGGCAAAGCGACGGAATTGACAAAGGTGCAGAGTGTAAATCCATCACACCCAGGTCCCAGAAAGGGTAAAGGGAAACATTACAACGGCTGAGTACCGCCTGGTTAACCACTAACCAGTTAACCACTAACCAGTCAGAGCTTTTCTCGTGGGCCGAATCTTCATGGTCACCGTTTTCAGAGAGTAGTTGCCACCCCGCCAGTGTTTCCATACCACACCGTGCCATGTCTTGGTGTGCTCGCCGGCAAGATATTTGCCATTCAAGCTGGATTTGTAGCAATTCTTATGCCACCAGGGGGCCTCCCATCCTTTGGCACAGTTACCAACATTATCGTCGTTGTCTCTGTCCTTTGTACTAAATCGTTGTCCTGTGTGATAAGTGAGCGAGTCGTTGGCGTTTCCGGTGTAGTTGACAGCATTGAGCCGGTATCCGTCCGATTCAGAGGAGATACTGAAGTTCTGGTAAATTGCATGTCTCCACTCACTTTCGAAATCTTCTAGGTCTATTCTCAGTTCGTATTGCCGGTCGCTTGGTGAGGTCATGGCCCACATGTTCTCGAGGCCCCACCAGAATTCTTTATCCAGCTCTCCGAATCCCTCTTTGTAGGCGGCCCAGTCTCGGTAAAAGTCCTCCCTTGGCTCTATATCGGCCCGGCGCTGGATGACGGTCCACCGTCCGCCGTCCGTCTCCAGGTCGCAGTAGGCGGGCACCTCTCCGGTGGCCCCCAGACCGGGCCGCAGCAGGTAGATGCCGCTCTGGGAACCGGCCGGTAGGTCACTGCAGTCGCGGGCTACAGAGTCATCATCGGTAGAAGCATTCTGAACTGCATCGAGACGGAGGGTGATCCCATCAATCCGCGCATCGTGACTGCCGGTCATGTTCTGAAGTGTCTCCAGACTGGAATTCAGCTCGGCAATTCGAGATGCATGTTCATCAATAGAAGATTCGTGAAGGTTGACCTGAGACGCTTGGCTGTCGAGTCGCGACTCATGTGAGTCGATTCTTGACCCATGCCGAGCTATTAACAAGTCCTGTTCCTGGAGTCGCGATGTCTGCTCATCGAGTCGGGACTCCACGGTTCCCAGCTGCGATGAGGTGACGTTCAGCAGCAGTTCCTGGTTGAGAGCTAGGGATTGCTGTCCTTGCACTTGGAGCTTCTGATCACTCAGACCTGTTTCAGCGTCTACCAGCCTTGAGGCTAGTTCGTCGAGTCGGGTGCTGCCAGTAGCGATTTCAGAGTCTTGTTTACGCTCCCGTTCGATGACTCTGTCCACTCGGGAGTCAAGAACATCCATTCTGGAGTCCAGCACGTCCAGCCTGGAGTCCAGCGTGTCAAGTCTGGAGTCCACCGTGTCCAGTCTTGAGTCCGGCCTAGAGTCTAGCGTGTCCATTCTGGAGTCCAGCACGTCCAGTCTGGCATCCAGTGTATCCAGTCTGGAGTCCAGCGTGTCGATGCGGCTGTCCAGTTTGATGGTCAGCGGCTGAATGGCAGCAGTGACGGCACGGTCAACAAGCTGCCACAGCTCATTCGGAGTGATGTGAAGTCCCGCTGCGACCTGCTGTCCTCTCTGATCCTGTTGTTGCTGCTGCGGCTGCTGCTGCTGCTGCTGCTGCTGCTGCTGCTGCTGTTGTTGCTGCTGCGGCTGCTGGACAGAACACTGCGCTGGCAGTGCTGCCGCCGTTAGGAGAGTCGCCAACACTGTTGGCAGCAGGGGCGACATGGCTGCGGCGACCCTCTGAGGACGGCAGGGAAGACACCGACCTACGGACGACTCTGAGCCTCAGCGGCAGGCTCGGCCCGGCGCTCAGTGGCTCAGGGGGACACACCGGGCACTGAGCGAGCTTCAACCACCGCGCAGACTGGCGGCGAACTGACACGGCGGCAGCGGCGAGGGCCAAGCTGAGCTCTGATGTTGACATGGCGCCTCTGACGGGTTCGATGTTTATAAATTTGAGACGGCCTAGCCCGCACCCCGTCGATAACTGGAGCAAGCGAGCTCGGGTCCTTTCCTGTATCAGTAGTGGATGGGGCAAGACGAAGGAGAAAATCCATAAATTACGAGTCCAACATTACTAGCGAAGGCCTCAATCTCTTGAGGCATCTCCGAACGTACATAAAAGCCCATCGAAACAAACGCGATACTTAACGTAGACTGTTCCCTACCATAAAATATGTGTATCGTGATGTCATAAAATTTTGAATAACTTCCACAATTTTGAACCGATTCTTCTAAAAATTGGTATGTATGTGCACATATACCACTTCTCTTACATATATTCCGTTTTTTTTCGATTCACTCAAAATTTTGGATTTTATAATTACTTTCCCAAAAAGTTTTTTTTTTTTGAAGAAAAAAATTGAGCCAAAATCCAAAATTTCCAAAAACAGAGATAGCCATTTGATAGACAAAGTAGAATCACGTCTTGATTCCTTTAAAAATGAAGATGTTAGCGGCGTTTGAAGTTTTGCCGTTTTTTAGGCGAAAATGGCGTGACATGACGTCACTTAAACGTCATTTTCCCAAAAACTTCCGACAGATTTCGCTTAAATTTTCAGCGAACGTGTCAAATTGATGTATGATAAGGCACTGAAAGTTTGACGTTGCTGGCGTAACCCGTTTAGAAGTTATTGGCGAAAAACAGGAGGGGGCAGATTCTGACCCCCTCCCCCCAGTTCGGCGCGGGTTAAAACCCGCCCGTATGTGCATTTCTACATCGTCTAGCGCATAGGGGGGACCCTCCCAATATAATCTGCAGTAAGGATAATGATTACCCACAATCGCAATGGTACTGCGACGCTATACTATATCAACGATTGCATTTTTTTATTCAAACACAATTGCGAGGCAAATTTATAAAATAAATATTTCCCATATAAAATGAAAGCACAAATAAGAGCTGCCACCCATCTCATTCACTCATTGTCAGCTCGGACCTCAAGCCAGCGCACTCCCTCGTCGGTGATGACAAAGCGGCGCTTCCACAGGCTCGGCGGTGGCGGCGCAGCGCCCTCCGTGCGGGCGACCATCCGCAGGGTGGCCTCCACGGCGCCCTGTTGCGGCCGCAGGCAGACGGAGCGTGTCACGGCCGCCGACCACTCGGCGCCCATGTGGTGCCAGCCGGTGGCGCCGGCCGACAGCGAGTGACGCGTGGCGACCACCACCAGCCGCCCGCGGCCGGCCAGTCGCACCAGCTGCTGACCCAGCTGTCGGTACCACGCGTCGGCGCGCTCCCCCACCCGGCCCAGCGCGTGGCGGTCACTCCAGTAGAAGGCCGAGAGCGAGTCGACAGCGAGCAGCAGGACTCCAGCGTGCTCCTCTAGCCTGGCGAGCAGCGCCTCGAGCGCCACGCGCGCCTGCTGACTGCTGGTGGCCGTCAGCAGCTCCAGCCGCGAGGCGGCGCTGCGAGCGGCTGCTGCTGAAGGTAGGTGGCGCTGTAGTAGCTGCAGCAAGCGGGGCATCCTCACGTGCCGGTCCGTGTCCAGCAGCACGACGGCCGAGGTGCTGTCGCAGCTCAGCGCGGCGGCCACGCACTCCATCAGCAGCTGGGTCTTACCGGAGCCGCCTGACGGGATCGCATGGACGGGCGGTTAGCTGACGCCGCCTCCACAGCTGCAGTGCTGAAATGACTAACTACACCAGCGGAAAGCGTATTCGGGCGCCGAGGCATGAAAAGCGACAAGCGTCGATCAGAACTGGAAGCCGTAATCTACTGACAAATCTATCGCGTGAAACGGCGATTCTCTATAAATTGTAACAGCAAATCGCCGACTAAAATTTCCAAAGCTCATCAAACGTTCGCCTACGGATCTACTGATTGCAGCGGGCAGTTACTAGCTGATGTAGGTACAGGGCGGCTGCGGCCAGCCCACCTACCCGGTCCACTGATCTCCACAATGTCCCCAGGCACCGGGTGGTGGGGGCACAGCTCGGTCAGCACGGAGCCAAGGTCGGGCCGCGGGGCCAGGCGAGCCAGCAGCTGTCGGCCCGACTCCCCGCACGGAGAGCTGTCGCACGCCAGCATTGCCACCTGGCGACACGCGCGGCTGGTCATGCCACAGATCGACACAGAGTGGGACGTCAGTGACCTCCGTGCCTCACCCTGTCACCCATCCACCCACGCAGGGTGGAGTCTCAGTCAGCCGGTGTCAATTTACCACACTGAGGTATCATTGACCTTCGGTGCAGTGCTGATTTACCTACTGGTGTGTTATGCCAATGCAATGTCAAAGTTGTATCAAATGCTGAAGGCACTTAGCAATGCTATAATGTTCAATTGATGAACTAATATTGATATGAGAATACAAGAGTGGGCTGACCACTGTCAGCCCACTCTTGTCAGCCACTGATCAATCAGCCTTTACAACACAAGTGTGGCATTAATAAATGTTGGCATTAAAGGGACCCTCCCACCTTAACATTAGTTTTGAGTTGAGATAGCCAAATTGGTGGCCATGGCCTGCAAATACCGGTTTGGGCACTCACAACATCGAAAAATGCTTTAATTCGAACATATGGAATTTCAAACTTGCAGTTTTCGGATTCTAAGGGGCTAATGCATTGGAATGCCCCCTTAGAATTTGTGACGTCAGCGGAGATCTAACGATTTTTAAATCTTAGACTAAAACCATCGTTAACACGTGGTGGTATACGCTGCTTTGCGCGCAACGTCTGCCGCACTTTAGGGCTGCCAAATTATTGCTTCCAAATAAAGTCGCTAGTAACAGGAGAGCTCCCAAAAAGTAAACAAAAGTAAAAGTCTAATATTTTGAAAACCAGTGAATATTTTTCGGTGAAATTTGTTAGATATTCGTTTTCGCTCTTTCTGAACCAAGGGACATCACTTTCATGCCAATTCATTAACTTTTTTGAAGGTGGGAGGGTCCCTTTAATGTTGGCATTAATAAATTTGTAGGTCAAGGTATAAGTCTTGTTTGCTTCAATGGTGCAGTTCTTCAGTCTCAGTCTGGTTAGTGCCAACGTATATAGGGTTAGTGCCGAGTGCAGCAGGCTCGAGGGGATTCTCAAGACCTACCTATCCAGTATCCCAATCCACCTTTCAGAATCAACTCAAACTCAACAACAACAAACAGCAAAGATAAGATGGCTGCTGAAAAGTCTTTTCTATCGGTATTTCAATTTGAGTTCTTTTAAGCTTTTGAAAACAAGTTGCTAGGCAACTAGCGTCTAGTTCCGCAATCGCCTAGCAATTTGCTGCTGTCACCTAGCGGCTGTTTTCGAACCTCTCATATTGAACACCATCGGCTGCGTTTTGCAGCGTGGAGGATGCACGCGGAGGGACGTTTTACTTTGATAAAGCAATGAACATAGGGGTGTTCACGGGCACCGCACACTGCTGCGTGCGCTGTGTGCGGTGCGTCCAGCAGGCGTGGGGGTAGGGGATGGGTAGGCGGCTCTGACGTCACGGCTGCGTGCGGTGGACGGTCCGCTGTGGCCAGTCCCGACCGGCCACAGCGATCGCTGTGTGCGGTGACGGAAGGCTGACGTAGGGACGAAGTGGGCGGAGCTTCGAGGCTGTGTGCGGTCCGACGTTCTATAGCCTTGGGTCCGACCGCACACAGGGCCCGTGAACAGCCCTCATATTTATCAATTGTTACGCTTTATCACAACCGTCGGCCGCCAACTGCAGCAGCGACAGATTCCCCATCCTCCAAACCATTCCTTTCATCGTGACGCTTAAACATTCACAAACCCCATCCCTCCCAGCGACATATCCCCCACTCTTCAAACCATTCCTGTCATCAAACTCTCGTAACCTTACCATTCACAAACTTCCTCCTTCCCTCCCTTCACAAACATCAATTTACCGGTAAGTTTCACTGTCATTTATGTGTCTTAACGTAAATTCATGGGTTTTTTCCCATATTCATGGCATAGTACATGGATATGGGTTTTCCCATGTTGTCTTGCTGTAAAAGTGGCCACCGGTCTTAGTTAGGACGGCCGGTTTGTTTTGCGCGGCGTAGTTAGGTCGCCGCCCTCCTCGCGAGGCCGGTAACGTAAGTTAGGGCCACTAAAAAAAAAAAAAAAAAAAAAAAAAAATCGCTTTTTTTATTAACAGTGCCGGTGTACCGTAGATTTCAACTTTGTAGTCTCAGAGATCCTGTTGCCGCCGCCGCCTTGCTCCTGCGTGGCGTTGGCAGGGCCTTGGCGTTGGCAAGGCGTAGGCGTGCGTCGTCGGCCTGCGGCGGCTCGCTCTACCTCAACCTCTCCATATCAGTTCTCACTGACTGGAAATGACTTGGGAAATGGACCAGATTCTGATTCAAGACTGATGGTTTTTCGGAAACTTGAAGACTTTTCGAGTCTGTGAAAGCATATCAACTTATCTGCAAGGTATGTGACTGCAGAGGATACTGATTTTTCATTTGTTTCCATATAGATTTAGTCCGAACCTTTTGAATGAATTGATCCGCCAGGACCAAGCCCCAGCCAGGCAAAGCTTGTTGCATTGATTCTGCCCTCTACCCTCAGATTGAGCAATTCTGGCTCTACTCAGAATTTGGAATCAAAAGTTGAATGTGTGCACACGGCACATAGCTGTGCACGCACGACCGGTCTCCTCACTGACTTTGCACCTCACTGACTTAATGTTAAGCTTCAAAACTGGACTGTTATTATCGGGAACTCATGCAGAATCCAACGCTCTACCGACTGATGCTCACCATAGAAGATGCTCACTATAGTAGATAGGAAATGGGCATACCGGTATACCGGCACACAGAGGCTACATTACCGGCACTCATGGGCTCATCATCATGGCTGAGTGCCTGAGTGTAAGGCATTGATCTGCCAGGTACCTACCTATGTGACCACAGATGATACTGATTTTTCATGAGTGAATGCCTGAGTGCAAGGCATTGCAATCTTGACAAGATCCTGTCAGTTTCTAGGCACTCTGTGCATGCTGCAGTGCAGCTCTTTCTTGGTCATGATGTACATTCACCATTACATCTTTTAGGACTCGAAATGGCTAAAAACCATGCATAGGTAATACAACCAAGATGAGTGATGATGATGATGATGTGGTCGGGCTGTCACCGGTTGCATCGGTAGCCCTATAAACGCGCGTCGGGTGGTGGGAGGTTTCTGGGATATGGTTAGGATGTAACCTGGACAGAATTAGACAAGTCAGCTTCTGTCCGCTCCAGTCCTCTGCTCACCATCCGTCACGGTCACCAGTTTCCTCTTCCTCAGTCTCCAGAGCTTGTAGAGTCCCTCCTTGTTCTTCTCCATCTCTTCCGTGCTTTCATTGAAGAGGAATGTCTTCAGGACTTCTAGTTGGTCTTCTTGGTGTGGGCGTTGGAGTGAAGTCATCTTGAGCCGTTCTTCTGCGAGTTTGGTGCACTCAAGCAGGAAGTGGTGCTGGTCTTCCTCCCCATCTCCACACAGGAGACACGTGGTTTCTTCGCCAGTGTGTCTCTTCCTAGTCTCCAGCGGGAGCGTGTTGGATCTGGCCTGGAAGAGTATGATTGACGATGCTGTGTTATCGTAGATCGGATCTTCTTTAATGGCTGTTTTGGCAGATCGGTATACCATTATACTGGACTTGGCCTCGAGCTCTTCTTTCCACTGTTTGTCATCCCACTCTTTCAGGCGTTTCTTCAAGGTAGACTTGTTCATCCTCTCCAGTTCTGCAGCATTTAATCCCACAGCTTCCAGGTACCGTTTCGTTGTCTTCGCCCATGTACTTTTCCGCACTTCTAGTTCTGCTCTGGCGATCCTTCTGATGAGGTCGTTGCTTCCTTGCATCGCGCCTCTCAGGAACTGCAAGTGCCCTTCCATGATCCTGGTCTTCATCAGGGAGGTTCCCACCTCACCTCTGAGCGTACAGATCGGCGTGTATCTCGGTGCTCCCAGAATTTGTCTGAACACTCCATTCTCACATACTTGGAGCTTCTTGATGTCTGCGTCCGTAAGGCTCAGGATGCTCGCCCCATGAAGAAACGAAGGGAGCGACAGACATTTCCAATAGCACTTGCCAATCATCAGCTTGTTGCAGCATTTTTGCGTTATTCCGTAGGTCATGTTGGCCAGCTTTTGGGACTTCTGATGCATTACGTTGATGTGTTCCTTGAAGAGCCTTTTCTTGTTTGTGACACAAACTCCCAGGTACTTGATCTGTTGAACCACAGGGATGTCTGCGATGACCTTGGGTTGCTCCTGACAATTGTAGATGATGACCGCGCTCTTGTCTTTGTTTATCTTCAAACCGAACTTGCCACTGATGTCCGCCAGCGTTGTCACTAGGTGCTCTGTCTCCTGTAAAGTCTCAGTTAGGACGAGTCCGTCGTCAGCAAAGAACAACACTGGGATTCGGACAATATCATTTTTGAAGCCCAGTCCCGTATCTGTCAGAGCTTTGGCGATAAGGTATGTTACAATCTTGAAGCTTGTCGTTGACCCATTGCATCCTTGTCGTATTCCTGATGTGACGTCGATGACTGCTTCAGTCCTGTCATTGAGCTTGATTTTCGTTGAGTCTCCCTGGTAGATTTGCGTCGTAGCATCAATGATTTTGGAGTCGATCTTGTAGAACTTCAGGGCTTCTACCATTTCAGCTCTATTAACCGAATCGAAGGCCTTCGAATAGTCAATGGCTGTCACAAACAATGGCTTTTTCCTGCGAAAGCTGTCTTCAACGCAGTAACGCAATAGGAATAAATTGTCTTCAACCTTCCCCCCACTAGTGAAACCTGCTTGTATCTCTAGCATTTCATCATTATACTTTAAGTGACTCTCAATTTTATCCTTCAGAATACTCATGAACAGCTTGTATGATATGTTTGTCAACGCTATGGGACGCAAGTCTTTTGCAGTGGGTTTCTTGATCTTGGGGATCATTTTAGTCTTCGACGTCTTCCACGAATCTGGCTTCGAGTCGGCATCCAGTTGCTGTTGTAGACAGCTTGTTAGGGTATCTAGGCCTTCCTTCGTCATTACGAGTGCTTTGTATAGTTCCGGTTTGAGCAAGTCTGGTCCTGGTGCAGTTTTGTTCTTCAGTCCGGATACTGCTTTTTTCACATCTTCTACTTCAATCTGTGTGGGGTTCATCTGTGATATTTCCTGTCTCACAGGGAGAGCCATATCCATCAACTCTCTCATGTGTCTCGGGAAGTGGGGTCCCTCGTGCACAGTTCTCCTCATACCTTCTTCATATTCCTTCTTCACATCACTGTTCCATATTTTACTGATCTCGTTTGAGTGTTGCTGGTACACAGTTTTCCAGAATTTCACCAACTCCTCTTCTTCCACTTCTGGTTCCAGTTTCTTGCCTTCATTGTCATACAGTTGGATGTCTTCTTGGTTTCTCTCCTTCTTCCTTAGTTTGTCAATGTTTTCAAACATTGACTTGCTCTTGTTAGCACTGTTCCTGATTTCTTCAGTTGTCTTCTTTTCTGATTTTGTCACAGCCTCTTTCACCATTTCCTGGACCTTCTTTTTCTGTATTTTATACTGTTCATTGAGCAGCTTCTCTTGATCTTTGTCTTTGGTGTTTCGTTTTTTCCCGGTTTATGGCCCTGCGTTTCTTGATAGCTTCCCTGATTTCATCTGTGACCCATGGCTTTTCTTTCACCTGTTGCCCTATCAGGCTTTTCTTGCGGTATGTTGCTTTTAACTTGCTGTTGGCCACTTCTGTCATCAGGCCATTGAGCTCCTCTATGTTTGTTATGTTCTCATTTCGGAGCCTTCTCTGCATCTCTTCTCCGAAGAGTTCCAATGAGCCAGCATCTACCTTCCAGAATTCTCTGACACTTGTCGTTCCCTTATTAAAGCTTTGGTTTCTTGTGGGTATTTCCATTCTGACCGAGATCATATGGTGATCTGAGAGGTCAAAAAGCTCCCTCTCTTCATCAATTGTCATGCTCTCAATACGCTGATAGCACCTCCTATTTGCGAGGACATAATCGATTGCACTATTTTGGTCCTGCCTTGACCATGTATATGTACCTTGGCAAAATTCTTCTAGGTTTAGCAGTATCAGTGATGATTTATTTGTCCAGTCTAAGACAATTCTCCCATTTTCATCTTCTCTTTGATAGCCAAGCTGTCCAATGTGTCCGTTCATGTCTCCGAGCAACAATAGAGCCTCATCTTTTGCCATAATTGTTTCAATTATGTTATCAATTTCAGCTTTCATGTTTTTATTCCTCTCACAGTCTTCAGCAGATTTCCTTACAGACAGATATACAAGGATGATGTGCAACTTAAAACACCCTAATTCCATGACTGCATGCAAAATGTCTGTGCTACACGTTCTTTGTTTTGCAACACTTGTCCCTTGCTTAGTTTGGAACATTATCCGGAGTCCCCCTCCCTTCTTATCCCTCATCTCTCTCATACTCTCAATCATTGTAACACCTACAGAAACTTCATACTTTTCAAATTTTTGTTGTGTTTCTGTAAGACACAGTATATCACAGTTTGTTTTCAAAAGTTCTTCAAGCTCAAGAAGTTTATTTCTTGTGAGGCCCTGCACATTCACCATGTTGACTGTAACAGTTTTACTCTTTATCAGCTGATTTCCCCTTTTCTTTTTTCTTGGTAGTTCATTGGTTTCTGATGACCCTTCCTCGAAAGATCCTGTGTGTGGCAGTCCCCTTTTCCTCGAGTTCCTTTTTCAGCTCATGGAACTTCTTCCTCTCTTCTGGCGTTCTATCCAGGGATATGTATTTGTTTTCTATATTTACCTCTCTCATCCTCATGCGGTTCTTGTAGATTTCTTCTGCCTCTTCCCTGCTGGACAGTCTCACCAGCATCAGCCTGTTCTTCTTTGTCGTCTCATCTTTCTTTCCGAGCCTGATGATTTTTTCTGTCTTGAAGCTCCTGTTTTCTCCCATAAGCTTTTTCATCATTTCCTTGAATTGTTGTTCATCATGGTCTTTTCTTTCTTCAACATTGGCAGACTTTGACTCGTCTATGTTGTGGAAGATCAGGTTTTGTGCTCTATTCTCCTTCTCTTTCAATCTCACGACTTTCTCTATGTTGGTTGTGTTACTCTCCAGGACTTGACTTTGTTGGGCCATCTGCCTCACCACACTTTCTTCCATCCCTTTGAGTTTATCACTCTGCTCTTCACTTTTCTGTTTGATAACATTGACTGCTTCAGACATTTCCGCTGTTCCCTTCATCGCAGACTGCAGTTTGCCAACTTGATCTTCTATCTTCTTTGCAGCTTCAGCATATGTTTTTGCTGGTTGTGTTTCTTTGATGCTTGTGATGATCACTTTCTCTTGCTGCTTCATGGCTGCCAGGATTTCTTGTTTTTGGGCCTTGATGGCAGAGATTATTGCCTGGTTGTCTTCCTGCACATTTTCTTTCTTGTCAGCCTTTGG